TTTATTAAAAACATTTGCAGATGGGAGTGACAGATGCTTTGGTGAAGCATCGGCACGATACATAATGTTAGAGAGAAGTGTGGCGGGAGGCCAGAGTCTAAAATTTAAGAAGAAAGGCTGCTGGTAGGCGTATATGCAGCCCGGTCAGGTCTGGAAGAAAGACAAGTACTGTCACATTTTCAGAATTCTCAGTCAGTCACTCTCACAAAATGATGGTCTTTGGATGGTAATGGTAAATGGTAAATGCTGTACTTGTATACAGCACCTTTCTAGTTTCCAACTCGCTCAATAGTTTTCGCTTTTTTAGCAGCTACGTGCCACATGTCCACCGCCCTTAGTCGACACATAAAGTCCATCGAACAGAAACTAACTCATTCATACACATTCACACACAGATGCGCAGCATCGGGAGCAACTTGGGGTTCAGTATCTTGCTCAAGGATACTTTGACACGTGGTGTGAGGAGATGGGGATCGAACGAACAACCTTCTGATTAGTGGATGAAGATGTCGGAAACATTACCGATGCTGTCTCTTAGCGGAATGTTGATGGATTACAGTTGGAGGCATTCCTTTGTAAGGCTATGGAGTGCTAATGAACAGTGCATCAGAAAGAAGTATGCAAAACAGAAGGGGGGAAAAAAGCACCTGGGTGCCTGCGAGCTGCAGAGGACGTGAGAGACATTCTTCCAGCAGCCATTGGTGAACGGGTTAACGCCTCCTCTGAACTTCCCTGTTACCTGGAGAAAGAGACACAGAGTTACAGTTACACATCTTGCTAACATCTGAATAAACTAAATATATCAACTACATGATTCCTGAGACTGTAATTTTACCTGTGACTGGTGCACACATAATGAAACTGGGTTTCCTACCTGTTCATTGGTAGTCCTGCCTCTGGCCACAAGCACTATGTGGAAACCAGTGAGGCCAGCAACTGGGATAAAGAACAAGCCTGCAACACACATTACAGCCAGCCTGAGAGCAAAGGGGGTCAAGGAATACCATAAAAGAGCAGGTTGAACAGACGGATGAAGGCCCATGCAGAATAATGTATTAGGTTTCATGATAATGTGCCCATTAGATTTTTATATTTATTGTGTGTAAATGGACAGCTTGGTCTGGTGGTGCTGTTAGACATGCAAGAGTTAACAAAATAATTAGAAGTCATCATGGAAATCTGTTGCTTTGAGCCAATAATGATAATCTTTTCCAATAATCATGGAACAAAAATACATGGGAAAGGTCCTTAAAAGATACGTGACGATGGCGTGCAGGCGGTCAATGTTCTGGCGATGGTAGAGGATGAAGAGCAGGCCAAAGCCAAACACGGCCATGATGTGAGCCGTCAGAGACAGGAGGAACAGGAAGAAGTAGCGGTAGTTCCTCCTGCCGATGCAGTTGTTCACCCATGGACAGTGGTGGTCGAAATCCTATATGATGAGGGTTAAAAGACGCTGTGGTAAGAAAGCTAGTACAGTAAAAAGCATTTGTCTGCACCTACATGTTACCAGGAAGTACAGTAAAAATTGACATACCGATGACATGATTTAGTGTGTGTGGTAGTCAGTTAATGTCTGTGCCACTGTGCACATGAACCATCACAGCATGTCTATAAGTTTTACCACAGAATCAAATGTATATGAAACTCCGGCCGATTCAGGTCATGGGCTGATCAATCGGTGCTGGTATGAGTATTAATTCAATTCAATTTTATTTGCTATAGCACCAATTCATAAACAGAAGTTATCTCAGGACACTTTTCAAGTCTAGACCGAACTCCTTATAACAACTTACTACTTTAAAGGATACTGGCATTGGTACTGGTATCATATTATTTTAGACAATACCCAGCTCTAAGCATACTGCTAACTCCTAACCTTGAAAGGATTAATCAGAAGTTGCGCACATAATTCACACAATGTATCGTGGGCTACGAATAACATGCCTACTTAAACCTAGATCATACTTAGATCAGGCTTCAGTCGTGACATTCATCCCATTAGCTTTTATTTTTTTTGTAAACCTATGTTGTCTTGTGATGCAGTGTTTGCTTTTTCCAATTAAAACTGCACTTTCAAATGCATTTTCCTGCAACCTTTGAGGCACATTTGATAAGAACAGACAAGTCAATTAAGTCTCAGTTCTCTTAAAATAATTTTTGTTGGAATGCTGAAGTATAAAGATGTGTGGAATGAAGGAAAAACAAATCTTGTTTGTATGTGTTCCTGATCACCTTCAATAACTCATTTACCAGACAGAAAAAGGTCAATGGATCTGAAAGACTGGTATGAGCTATATAAAGCCTGATCCATTTTGATCAGTAATTGAGATTAACCTAATGTGCCTGCTGTAACAGGAACGTATGCCTTCAAGTGAGGAGAAAAAAAAAAAACTGTCTTTGTGTCTATTACGGAAACATTTTTCGGGTGATTAATCTATCCAATTGCTGGTGCATTTGTGCCACGAAGGATGGAGAAGCTCTGTCCAAACCTCTGCAACAAAACATAAACACTGACACTCCTCTCTCCACCATTAAAGGAAAGACGGTTTCAGGAGGCACATGGTTGATGCAGTTCTGTTAAACGTATCTAACCTGGATGAGCTTTACACTATCCTATGTAACTAGTGAATGGGTGAGTGTGAGCACACCTCAACACAGTTGTCACAGACGGAGCAGTGGGAGCACCGTGGCGGCCTGTAGAAGCGGCAGGTGGAACACCACTTCATCCTGACCTGGATCCCTCTAATCTCTACAGTCTTGTAGAGGGGGGCACGGAAATCGTCCTCCTTGTCCTCGTCCTCGTCGGCTGCAGAGAAAATTGACCATAATGAACATTTGAGCCCTGACATCAGAACACATGCACATATATAAGCTGTAACAAGGAATCTTCATTGTGTGCGGATAAGCAAGAAATGTAGGCACTGAAATGAAGCCAAAAGGCAAACTTTACATTATATAATAAGATAGTATTTAGTGGCCTGTTTGGTGACATAAAAAGCATCACACACATTCAACCATCCATGCACTCACCTCTCGGGAAGATGCCGGGGTCCATGAATGTGGCCATACAGAAGTTAGCCAAAACAAACAGGAAGATGACTCCATTGTAGATGGGCACAGCTATTGAAAAACGCTCTGAAAGCCACGGGCACCTGAAAACAGACAAAGGGGACAGTGCCTGAGGAAAATCCAAAGACCAAGACTGTGTCTCATTTTATTTCAGTTGTAATGAAAGGGCGGTTGTGGTCCTTCTCACACAACTAATCTGTTAGAGATGGCACAATTCACGGGAAAGAGGATGGTGGAACTGGAGTTGCACAGAAAATGCAAGAGTATGGTAATTTAGGATAACATTAAGCACTGAGCAACTAGAAATCACATTTAAAACAACTGTCAGCCAAAAATCAGGCCATGTTTAGTTAGCTGACTTAGCGTTAGCTTACCTGCTCCCTGAAAGCTGTAACATTATCCTCTGTAACTTCACATCATCGCCAATGCAGTCAGCTACATTTTGTTGTTCACTAAATTAATCCAGCCAGTGGTGGAAAAAATATAAAATAAAAACTCTAAAAGGGCATCGTATATCAGGTTATCCCACACGGATTCAATCGCCATGGACTGGGACCTCTCTCATCTTATGAACGGTCAACAGCCGCAATTTGCATGCAGACAAAATTAATAAATGTCCGCAGCTCCATTGCCAATTTTGTTCCCCATAAAAATAACAAGCCAACGTATCAAAATTAAATTACCATTGTACTGCTTTTTTTTTTTTTTTTTTCAGTCGTTTAATTCAGGTTTTTTTGTGTAGTGCTGTATTTATTTAGTAGTGAGAAAATAAGAGGAAATGTGAGAGTGATTGCAGGGATACAACACTAACAGACTCAGGAAGAAACAAGCAGTGAGAGACTAGATGATGGGCTTTTGTCAGGGTGACAGATGTTGGCCTATTTTGTCCTCACTAATCTGAAGCACAGAGCTGACTGCCCACCACACACACACACACACACACAACCACACACACACACACACACACACACACACGACACCACACACACCACACACACCACTCAATTACGCCTGTCAATCTGACTTTCTCACATTTATACCACATCCACATTGTTTCTCCCACAGACACTGCTTCACACACTCAAAAATCACCACTACTCTTCCCTCACGACACACTGAGAAACACACACAAACCCACTGACTGAGGTGTCAGCGAGATTAGTGTTGACAGTCTAATACCCTTGACTTAGCATTCTGTCAGAAACACTCACAGGGCCACACTGAGACAGATAAGTCTGAAAATGCTGTTTACATGTGAAAACGACCGTGGTTCAGTCTAGAGCCCGACCCATTTATCGGCAGGCC